TCATTTTCATTGGCTTGTCTCCGTCAGTACAAATGACAAAGATATAAATGATTCATGACATTTCATTGGTAGTCCTCCAACGATCGTCAACTTTTAGCTTGAGCAATTTTCCTGCGGTTGGTTTCGCAGCCTATAGAGAGAAAAGGAAAATCGAGATTAAAAAAAAACCTCAAAATAATACATTCAGGTCATAAAACTGAAGATAACAAGCTTAACAAAGAGTGATCAATATTCACAGCTGCTGAATAGGCTGAACAGGGGAATCTGATCAAATCACCTTTTAGTCTGCAAGTCACTTTCGTCCGTCGATTAGCTCAGAGAACAAAGATTTTGCTTGAGAACCAGAGCGAGCATGGAGCAATTTCTTCAAGTACTTGAAAGACGTAACAAATACTCGAAAGGACCTTTTCAGAATTCCATCATTCTGATGATTATTTATGGATTCGAGGAGTTTATTAGAACCCAATTTCTCAGGTAAGTGGTCTCTTCAAAGATTTTATTTTTCTTGTACAACAAATTTTCCCCAAATGACGTCGAATATTCTCATGTTTGCGTGATTTTTCATTATCTTCGTTTCCGTCGAACAAAAGGAGTCAATTCATAGCCAACTCCTAAAACCGTCAAATTTTGTTCGTAAATAACTAATCACTTGTGAACAACTTTCCCTACAGAGAGAGTGGAAAGTAAATTATCCGGAAGAATTAAGCAAGAAGGTAGCTCATCCGGAGATAATATAGCAAAATGTTTAGCCATATCATTTCATATTTTGATATTATTTTCCCGTTTTTTCTCGATAACATTTAAACATAAAGGCATCCAGAATTGAATTTTACAGCTGGCCCTTGTCTTAATGAATTTTCTTTTTAGGAACAAAAAGGCTGTCTGCTGTTGAATTTCAACATAATTCTAATAAGAAAAGAATTGTAAAAACTGTTACGAATTCCACGAGGTGAAATTCGGTCTACGCCATATGAGGACAAGGACAAGTATTTGTTTTGTGCTCATCTGAACTAAGTACAAATTAATTAAACAAGATTTTGTGTGATCAATTTTGCTTCGTGTATTTCAATCTCAATTTTAAAAACCACAAACCTAGTGCATTAATAATTGATAAGTGGTGAAATAAAAGAAAAACACATACATACTCGAAAATTTACACGCGAAAAAAGCTTCTTTTTCATACTTTTTAGCAGCGGTGATGTAAGAGGGCTATTTAATGTCGTTACATTTTAGAGTTTGGACAGTTTGCTATACTTCAGCGTCAATGTATTGTTTATTTATCAAGTCTTTCTCGTAAAAATCTGGGTGAAAGTTATGATGACGCACGACTCTTACAATGATTTTTAAATGTAAAAAAACAGTGGATTCGATTTCCTTAATTTAATTTTTCCTTAAATAAATCTCTTTCTCTCTCTCTAGAATTGTTACCTTTGTTTGAGTGGTTTCGTTCAACTGAGAGATACTGAGAGAGATACTTATTTAAGTTTTAGTACGCCTGAAATTTTCTCTTTCAGATTAGCTAAGTTTTCAGTTACAAAACGTCAACTGATTACATATGTAAATTTCTAGTTGACAACGTGAATTTTAGGAAAACGTCGAAAATACGGAATTCACTTTGTGTCTGAAATAGTGCATCACAAGTTCCGCTAAAGGAACACAAGCATTTCTTGAGATGCAGAAAACCGTTGCTTACAACAACTTTGTTTGGATCATGTTTTCAAGAAACTTGTTGACAATGTTGATATGTTTCTCGTGACAGATGTCCTTGTACGAGTTACTTCATGTACAGCCTCGTTATGATGGTGGGTCCCGCCCTGTTCCTCCTGGGCCTCGGTTTCATGATGAGCGGGGGCTTTTGGCAATCTATTTTGAAGACCAGCAGAATGCCAGATGTCAAGGAGAGGTGTAACAACCGAATGAAGTCTCTAACTAAACTTTTCCAACCGTTTCTCGCTCCCATGGCCTACATAACCATCGCTCTGTTGAAAGGGGACTTCTTCGTGTGTTTAACTGTTGGCTCGCCAAATGAGTCGTGCCACAGCAATCCTAGAGAGAGTGATATTTCAAAGGTAAGAAAGAGCTTTCAGTGATTATTAGAGTAGTTTTGCTCTTATTCAGTTGATCGCGTAGTGCAGTTGCTGGAATGGAGGTAGACTGGTGTCATCGACGGTGACTGATCTTTTGACAACCTTGGCGACCTCAGTCATCTCCGTTAAGTGATCAGTCAAGTCACTCGATTCTGATAATGGCTTACGCTCAGGTTTGTCAAAACGTCAGTCAGTCGCACTGATAACAGTCCTTTTCATTACTATTCTTTCCCAAATAACGACACTGCGTGAATAAAAGTGCAAATCATTTGAAGTATTTCATCTATTTTTTAAACCATGGCATTTTCGGTGTTTCTAACAGAAATTCACTTCAGTGGTAGACTTATTATCGACAGAAAAATAGACATTTTTGCACGTGAAGTCAATCACCGAAAACTTGATTTAGAAAGCAGTGACGAAACTCTGACTTTTTGCCCCAGCTCTTGCCCCCAAACTGCCTTTCTATGTCCCTGCTCCATTTTAAGGTAATTAAATTATGTTACTATGTTTGTTGCTCCCTTAGACACTACACGATCAGCGGTCTCTCCTTAAAGTTCACATGCAGTCCCAGATCCTTGGTTTTGGCATCCTAATCGCGGCCACTCTGTTTTCGCTCGGTCTCATTTGCATTCGGAGATGTTGCTTCGAAGACGATGTACTTCCGAACAATGACGACTACGACGAGCTCGAGAAAGAGGTACTTGGACGTTTGTTCCGCGAGAGACTGTACATAGCGGTAGAGGAAGATACGAAAAAGAGGATTAATGACGCGTTCCAAATAAAGACACACAGAGATGTGCGAGACACGTTTCACAGGGCTAAGGAGGCGCTGACGGCTGCCAATCAGTCTGATAACCGAAACGGACGATACAATCGATTGAATATTGATGATGATGACGCTGAGCTTCAGCTCATGGACTCCACTCACTTGTAATGCATGTGAACGATTTGCTAATTCTCCTGATGAAACTTGCGCTAGAAATAAAGTGAGCTTTAAATCATTTAAAAGCTAACATCAAGTTATCATAACAGCCAATAAGCGGGTGACCAAGTCAAGACTGGTTTAACTTTGCATCTGATTGGTTCAAAGGGTGACGAGTTTTTGAGACAGGTGAAGTATTGGACCACATTCCACTTTTCTATTGAAACTACTCCCGAGGGATGATAAAACTGTAGAAGGTCGTTTTAAGATTGATTTACGCTTTACGGTCATTGTTTTCCAGAGTGAAAAACTGCTGTTTTGTGGGATAGATTCTTGGCTTGTTCGCCATAAAATGTGAGGACTGAAACTTACACGCT